AGGGAAGGACAGAGAGCCATTGACTGCTTATCAGTAGTGGTGTGGCCATTCAAATACTGCAAAGGGGCCAGATCACAGAAATGACTGCCTGGGGAGGCACAGGATGTAGAGACCAGAGAATGTCAGAAAAGGCCTCAAAGGAGCGGGCATCTGGCCTGGGTGCTGAGGGATGAGTAAGAGTTTACCAGGCAGACAAAAGCAGTGGAGGCAGGAGAGGACCAATAGCCTGAGGAACGTTTGCAAGTGTCTAGACACAGAGCTTCGTGGAAGAGCACAGAGATGTGATTACTTCAGTTTGACAAGAGGTCCAAGTGAGGATGGGAGGCCCAGGGTCAGTTGTAGATACGGGTGGGAGCCAGGTCACATGGGGCTCTGTCTCCCATCCCAAGAAGTCAGAACCCATCTCAGGGGGTTCCAAACCCCAATTTATTGGAAAGACTCTTTGGTCAAACTGTCTCGCCAGCATCCCAGTTAAAGAGATGAAAATAAGGTTGAGGTGTAGCTTCGTGCTAAAGCACGTGCTGTTCACGAAGCCCTGGGCCCAAGAGCCAGCACCCAGAAAGGAAGGAAGGAAGAGGGGAGGGAAGAAGGGAGGGAGGGAAAACCATGCTTCCAGCCCTGATCTTGGCTTTTGTTGTTGTTGGTGGTGGTGGGTTTTTGTTTTTTGTTTTTGGGGTTTTTTTGTTTGTTTGTTTGTTTTTGTTTTTTTGGTTTTTGTCCCTAAGGTCTCCTTCAAGCAGTTGAAGGTAGGGGGTGTGGCAATGAGGTTTTGAAAGACAGCTCCTTAACTACCAGGTATGCTGGTGTGTGCCTGCAATCCCAGCACTCTGAAGACAAAAACAAGAGGAGGGGGTGGGGTTTGAAGCCAACCTGGGCTGTGTGAGTCCATGGAGGGAAGGGAATGAGGAAGGAGGAGAGAAGGGAGGGAAAACAGAAGAGCAGGAGAACAGAAAAGAAAGAACACACTGGCAGTGCTGTGCTTCCTGGGATTCTGGGAGACAAGGCATACCACACAGGGCCTCAGCTCTGTGCATGTGCGCATGCGTGCGTGCGTGCGTGCGTGCGTGCGTGCGTGTGTGCGTGTGTGCGTGTATGCATCCCTGGCTGCACTGGCTTTGATGACTATTCCCTTGAGAATGGTAAGGTTTGGAGCCAAGGCTTACATTCCCCATTAGACAGACTGGGTTAAAGGTGTTTTCAGAACAGCCACATGCCGAGCTGAGTAGGCACTCTGAGCGATGGGTGTGGACCCTCCACAAAGGTGAAGGCTGTATGTCTATTAGTTACAGTCTTGGAAGTTATTGATGTTTAAGTGATAGTTGAAGCTGTGGACTTCAGTGCAATTGCCTAGAATTATACCAAACATGAATAAAGGAGAAGAGAGTGAATGAGAGAGAGAAAGAGAGAGGGGGGAGAGGGAGGGAGGGAGAGAGAGAGGGAGGGAGGGAGGGGGGAGGGAGGGAAGGAGGGAGGGAGGGAGGGAGAGAGAGATGGCTGAGAAGACTGCATGTCAGAAACCGGGCACATACTTAAACATGTACTCAGTATTTAATACTTGGCTCCCTGGTAGAGTAAGGAGGGAAGCTATTTCAGCGGCACAGCACATTTCTTTCTTAACTGAATCTGAAGGGCCCTTGTTTCCCCACCGGAATATGGAGCAGCCTAGTTCAAGAACAGCAGACCTCACAGTGTAGACAGTGTCTTTGTGGGCAAGTGGAACTCCTCTCTCCTCTCTCCAGGGATAAGTGAATTCCCTCGAATCTCTGCCCATCAGTTAGATGTTACATTCCACCTCATGTTCATTCTGAGTTTTAAAAATGATTCCGTGGCCAGGAGGTTGTACTTCGGTAAATTGAAAATGATTTTCCTAGGGTAATATGCTAATTTTATACCTAACTTGTTTTTCTTGTTTTGATTTTCTGTAGCCAAATTGTAAGACATATCTGTCAGTTGTAGTTTCCTGCAGACATGCCCTGCTCCCTGGCAGACACTGGGAGGCAGGATGCCTTCAGAAGCACTCATTACAGCATGGGACAGGAGCCGATAGATACCACTGAATGGATGGATGGTGTGCTATCGCCCTCCTAAACATGAAGCCACATCTCAAAATGTTTGTATTCAGCAAAAGGAAAAACCATTTCAAAACTCATGACTAACTCTGGACTAACACTATTCTCCTCCTTCTCCTTGTGTAGATGCTGGATTGAGTAGTTAGGTGCCCTCTGCAGCCCTGCCCTATAACTGGCTTCTGTAAAAAGTCCCTTGGAGGAAATCTGTTCAAAAGACTAAGCCATAGAGTGTGGCCTTCAAGTTCTCAGACTGCTGTTCTCAGGTTGTTCAGCACCTGGATTTAGTTTAGTCTTTCAACAAATATTGACTGACTGCCTACTATGTGCTAGGCACTGAGCACGTGCCCTGCACAGAGTGTTAGAAGCCCCTCTTGTCATGGAGCATACAATCCAGACAGAGGCGTCCTGCAAGAGCAAACAAGGATACAGTGTGTGTCTGTGATGATAAGTACTAAGAACAAAGCTAAAGCTTTGACGGTTTGGAGAGGGGAGGGGAGGGGTGCCTTTATTCTGGATGTATTTGTAATCAATAGAAGGTAAACTGAGCCTTAGGACGAGGAATTATGTTTAGTCAGAAAATGCTTCTTAGCCACCCACTTCCACCCCTCCAGTGAGTGGGATGTGGGGAGTGTGCAGTTTGTGAATACAAACATCAACTCAACCAAGAGTGCTGTCACCCTGAAATGCTCTGATATATAGCTTAGATGAGAACGGTAAATAAATAACTCCTCAATTCTAACTGTATGACAATCTTTGCAGGTGACTTCAAAGTGAAACAACTTCCATTATTCAAAACTTTAGCATGGCAACCAGTCCTTTGAAATGACTGAAGTGACCACTGGAATTCCCTCCTTCCCCCGCCCCTTAAAAAAAGGCGGGGGGGGGCTTGCATTCTCCTTCTGAGACCGTGTATTATATCTAGTTTCACATAAAAATGAATTTTTGCTGCTAAGTTTGAAAACTGCCTGAAAACAGCAATTAATGTTGGAGAGGCTGACAGAACCTTGAGCGTGGTGGCATGATGGCCGCCACTGTAATTATGTGCCTGAGTGTGTGTGTGTCTACGTAAACACTGAGTGAAAGTGCACGTGCTGTCCAGGGCAGGGGGTCAGTGGATTCCCTTGCAGGTAAATGGGGTGGGGTGAGGATCCTTAGAGCATGGATGAGTAGTATGGGGTTTGCCCAATCTTATGTCTGAATGGCCTTGCTGTTCAAATTATTTTCACATTCACTTCCTTTGAGCCTCACAGCTCGCTGGAAGGAAAAGCAACAAGGCCATGCAGCTTGCTTCTTCCCTTTAGATGGATGCGCAAACTCAGCAGGTCAGCCTGGAGAGCTGTAGGCTCTTGTGTGCAGGATCAAGAGATCAGACAAAACCAACTCCAAAAACCACTACCACTCAGCTGGATGGGTAGTGGTTCTGACTGTCCTGAGATGCCACGGCTGTCTGATGGTGGGGATCCGTGTTCAAGTCCAGGATCCTTTCCGTCCCATGGTTCCTACTGTTTCCCATACCCTCCTCTGCATGTTTGTTTGCCTGTAACATTCTATGTCTAGTCTACAAGACTGTGGAGAAGGGTGTCGAAGGGTTTGAAGAGGGCCGGTGAAGAAGCTCTTGCGTGGTAGCTGTCATCACTGTCATCACTGTGGCTAATAAGGACATTATGGAATAGAAAGGGCGGCCATGCTGGAGTCAGGTGGACGAGCTTCTAATCAAATCTGCGTTTGCCCCCTAAGTCAGTTATCTAGCTTTCTGAGCATCCTGTAAAACAGACCTGAGGGGGAAGACTAGAGGTACATACGGATGCTGAACCCATGTCTGACACACTCCAGCGAATGCCTGGTAGGTGTGAACAATAACTTTCTGTCATAAGAAGCGAGAAGTTAGGCATGGTAACCCAGGCCTGCAATTGCAGGCCTCAGGAAGTAAGGGCCAGAGGAATGCAAATTCAGGGGCTAGCCTGGACTACATAATAAGACACTGCCTCAAACAACAACCAAAAAAAGGGAACTGGAATATATTTAATAATTTGCTCAGCACTTAATGACATGGAGTTAGCAGAAGCATGCAGATATTTGTTCCTGTTTAATGGGGAGAAAATTAGATTCAGAAACCAGGCTGTTCTAAGGGTATACATGTTAGGGGAAGAGGGCTGGCAAATAACATGCAACCAGTTGTTAGTAAAGTTCACTGTGAACTGTCCTGTCACACTGGCTTTCTGAAGTCCAGTGTATAAGTTACTCAGCTTCTCTTCATGACCACAGTCGTCTTCAGACCGTGTGGCTGTTTAGAAACGGCCACTTGTCTGCATAGTCTTACTCTCGTTTGACTGCTGTAGTGAGTTGTCCTGTTACAGTGTGGGCCTTTCCAAAAGATTCACTGAAGCTGGAAACCTAAGTCGTGCAGCCTTGTCCCAGACCCAGGGAGTCACAGAAAGACTTGGGAGCAGGACTGACATGTGAGACTGCTTCAGCATGGATTATAGACACTGATCCCACAGGGAGTGAGTTGACACCTAATCTTCAGGGCAGAATAGGTTAACTTGTAGAGGAACTGGTTACCACTTGCTCTGGAGCTGTGTCGTGAGTGTGTTGGCGGCATGAACGGGTAATGGCAGCCCCCGACTCTGATATCCATTGCTTAAACCAGTAGAGCTGATGTGTGGTGTGTTGTTCCGAGCAGCTTCCCATAGCATTTTGTTTATTACATAGATATTATTTAGAAATAATGCAGCATAGCATAGCTATCTGAGTGTGAAATTTTCTTTTCTGTATCTGTCCCTGAAACAATTCTTCCTGTGAATATCTGTCCAGAACAGTTACGTTTCTGTACCTGAGAGGAAAAGATGAACAGAAAGCTTTGACTGATGTCTGTTGTGTTTGGTTGCTTTCCAGTTTTAAACTGTGTGAATTTCTTTTTTAACGTTCTAGGGGAAAGCCATGGTGTTTGCCCCACGCCGAGGGAATACTTTCAACCAGTTTTGCAATCTAGCTGAAAAAGCTGGTTTCTCTCTCCAAAGACATGAAAATTATGATGAGCGCATTTCAAACTTGCACTCCAAGGTTAGTGCTCTGCCTGTGCTAGATAACACTTTAATCCGAGTTGCATTTTGAAGAGATCATGGTGTTTTTGGCAGGTAACCTAAATATTTGATTAAAGTATTCTTTAGGTGTGTTGCTTCCGAACAGCTATTTGTATCTGATTATTTTGTGTGGTAAAGTCATCTTTTATCTTTGCATGTCTATGAGGATTTTACAGAAATCATTCCTGTTTACCCCTTTCTCTGAAACAAACTAATCTTTTTCATTCATAGTGGACTAACTTGTGAGATGCAAGAGGAGGCAGCTTAGAATGAATGACAAACATGCATTTGTGTTTTCATGAAAAACCTTCGGCTTTTAAGTAGGTTAAATGCTTAGACGGACTGAAATAAATAGAAGGTGAATGTCTAATTGTATCATGTTGGACTGTAAATCTTTATCTCTGCTTGCTTTATGGCTGGGTCAGTTGACAGTTTGAGACTGTTAAATCTCATACAGAATTTCACAGTTGCGAGGTTATATGTCAGATTGAGGCACTACAAGATTTAGGTCAGAAGCACTTATCTGAGAGTGAGTTCTAAGCCTGCTTACATAAAGCAATGTTATCAGCCTTTTTATTATTTATGGGCATAGAGAGATATAGGACACCAAGAGGCGAGCATTCCATGGAAAAGTTTTTAGGGTTCTCACATTTACTGGCGCCTGTCAGGGACTAGCCTAACAGGAATTTCTTGCGTATATTTGTGCCTTCACAGAAGTCTCCCTTTGCTGAGCTCATCTGCCCTTGGTGAGAGACTCTGACTTGTCATGCTTTCACAAGCTATGACTGCAGAAAAGTAAAAAAGCCTGACCTTCATTTTCTCCTGGGACAATGTGAATAGCATTCTTTATTGTGCAGGACTGTGATATAATGTTGAAATATGTCAGCTACTGAAAAGTCATATTCAAAATGGATCAGATCTTCCAAGCAAGAGAAAGGACCCTTGTTCTCACTTCCTTGAAATGGGTTGCCTTCTTTGTGTCTCTAGGGCTCCATTTAGCCTCTGGGTGGGGTGGGAGTAGAAGGCGCTTTGAGAACTGGAACGTCAATGGTGTCCTCTGATGGAATTGGACTTCCAGCTTACAGTCAGAAAATAGGAACCGACTGGCAAGTTACTCATATTTTACCTGCTTCTCCAGAAGAATGTGCCCTCCTTACCTTCTCCCCAAAACAAAAGGAAGAGCTCTGAGGGGTTACCTGATGGGGAAGTGTCTTTCCTGGCCTCCTGAGTACCTTCCACT